AGGAATGCAGAATCTCAATACGAGCTCCGGACCCACTAAATCAGAACCTGCATTTGAAAAAAGATGCCCAGTTGATTTGTAAACACATTACAGATTAAGATGTACAGCTTCAGATAATTCAATTTTAAAAATTACCAAGCATTTTCTCTATTTCATAAGGCATATTGAAGAAAAGAGAAACACTGAATCATGTACTTGCTTACAAGTACATGATGTTGCGGAGGAATGGGACAAGGAAAAGGGGAGGTTTTTTTTTTTTTTTTGGTGCTAGAGGGTCCCTGAACTCACTAGACAGACAAAAAAATAAAAAATAAAAAAAGGAAGAGGAGATAGCATCCCCCATGGAAAATGGTCATGCCAAAATCCCTTCCCCTCCAATTCTCCCTTTTTTGGGGGATTTTGGGCATGCATGCAAACGTGCCCAGCGTGTTTTTCAGCGACTGGGTCTGGGACTTGAACAGTACAGTCAGCCATGTGTAATCCAGTGGCATTAACCAGCATACCGCGGGCTGGTCCCAGTCATTTTGATCGGTATAATACCTATTGTAGTAATTCTCCTGGAAGAAATAAAACCCTTCTTCAAGATAACAAACAAACTAGTAACAAATGAAGAACCCTAAATTTGTTCATTTCAACCTCACTGATTTGGGACTGTCCCTCCTCCACCACCCACCTTAGGAAGATCTCACCATGATACAAACAAAATCCAAGTCTTCAAGTACTTTAAAAACAACACCTAATGATACTGACTTACAAACACTAACAATTAATTCCTAAATAGGTCAATGGGCTTAAGGTCTCTCTGTACAGATGTTTATATACTTATTTTCCATTTCCAATAGCAAAATACTTTCTGACAAACAGAATTTTACTTGAACCTTGTGATCCTGGTTCTTTAACAGCCATATTAAAGGAAATCATCCCCCAGGCCCAATATTACTTAGATAAAAATTCAAAGATGCCCCCTTATTTACCTACGATGAGGCAAAGACTCCCAAATTTTCCATTTTTGCCTCATTTACAAATTCATGAATGACTGTTGAGTTGCTTTTCCCCACTGATAAACTGGAACAAAATGCTCCTTAACCAAACTTTGTTCTCCTTCCCCCACATCTCTAACTTTGGCCAACCCTCAACCAGAGCCACCGAAGGAATGCATGGGAAAACAAACTGGCCTCAGATTCATTCTTGGACCTCCATCCTAAGAGACGAAGCCATCCTTCCATGGGGCTCCCTCACACCATCCTCCCTGGCAGTCTTCTCCTTTGCAATGCTTGCAGATCTCTTGGTCAGAGTTCTCCCCATCTCCTTATCTCCTTTCCCCTCCAGCAATAGTCCTTTAGAATAAAATCTGCCCTTACTAAGTCCATATTTGTTTAGCTCACCCATGTATTCTCACGCTGGGTGGATGTGCTTGTGTGCCCAAGTTCTGGAGAGGAGAATGGAGAAGAGACTGCAGTATGGCCATCCCCCCTGGGGGGGGGAGGTGATTTCTTGCTTTGTCTCTCTTTCTTTCTTTGCTGCACCCTACAGCAAAAACCTCTCAAAAAAATAAAAAATAAAATAAAATAAATAAATAAATAAATAAATAAATAAGAAAGCCATAGACAGGGACCAGCAGTTAGTGTAATGGAGATGTCACTGGACTCCCACGTAGTCAACTACAGTTTGAGTCCCAGACCTGGTGGCTTAAACTCATGCTGGGCGCGTGCGTGTGCGCACCCAAGATCCCTAGAGGAGAAGGGACTGCGGCGTGGCCATGCCCCTGGGGGGTGATTTCTCGCTTTCTGTCTTTTTGTCTCTTTCTTTCTGGCGAGCACACACGCCCTATAGCAAAAACCTCTCAAAAAAAAAAAAAAAAAAAAGAAAAAAAGAAAAAAAAAGAAAGTCATAGACAATCTAGTACTCTCTTCCAGAACATCCAATGGAACAAGTTTTGAATGTTCATAGCATAATATAATGTTAACTGTTGATGATGGTTTTTTGTTTATATTCTCAATTTTTTATTACATACTGTATATATACTTTTAAAAAATGGTTTTTGACATAGAGAATATATGCTTGCCAAAGAGAGATAGTGAAAGTGAGAAATCCCCCAAGGGAGGACGGCCATGCCACAATCCCTTCTCCTCCATTCTATTCCTGGGATTTTGAGCACACATGCACATGCACCGGGAGTGATTTTCAAGCCACTAGCTTTTTGAACTTGAACCAGAGTGGGCCATGTGGAATCTAGTACCTTAACCTACACGCCACCTGCTGGACCCAATATATACCTGCTTTTACAGACCACTGTGTACCCTGCACAATGAATAGATGTAAATCATAAATTACAGTAAATAGTTTTAAAAAACTTAAAGCCACGTTAACTTATATATATATATCTATGTGTATATGTTAAAATGTTGATTTCTCTTAATATAGGTTCTACTTTGTTATTAGTCTCCTAATTAGTGGGAGTAGCATTAGAGGACCAGTAACCAAATAAAATACAAATTGATACTTAATTTTTAGGTCAACTCATAAGTCTTTCTCATGAGGAAAATTTTAAAAATTTTCATAAAATGCCCCCTCCTTCCCAGCATACCGGTTAAGGCAACCAATCTCTTGGTTTGCGTCCCAGACCCATGAAACTCACGCTGGACACATGTGTGTGTACAAAATCCCACGAGGAGAGAGAGAGGGAGAAGAGACTGCCAAGTAACTAGCGGGGGGTCCTGCCTCTCTTGGGAAAGCATACACCCTCTGGCAAATTAAAAAAAGTTCCATGAAAAATGTTAGGTTTGGCACCAGCAGTTAGCGTAATGGCTATGTCGCTGGACTCCCACGTAGTCAACCGCGGTTCGCGTCCTGGACCTGGTGGCTGAAAACTCACGCCGAGCGCGTGTACGTGCGTGCCCAAGATCCCGAGAGGAGAATGGAGGAGAAGGGATTGCGGCATGACCATCCCCCCTGGGAGGTGATTTCTCGCTTTCTGTCTCTATGTCTCTCTCTTCTGTCTGGCGAGCGCATGCGCCCTATAGTAAAAAAAAAAAAAAAAACATTTCAACAAAAAAAGTTATAAAAGTTAGAGTTTTTTTTTTTTTTTTGCATTATGTCTTATAATCTATAAATGACCAGATTATATATTATTTATTGAAAATAAGATAATTTAATGTACCCCTATTACCAAAATCAGTCCTTTAGTTATGGACACACACATATACTAAAATCATACATCCTGCAACTATTAACGTTTCATGTCTATTTTCACATACTAAGTACCTCTGCTACATGAGAATAGATACAAACAGAAGAACCCAAAAGCCAAGATGAGGGTTCCAATCCTCATGACAATCCAGGCCCAAAAGGAAGTGGAGAGATAATTTAGAAGAAAAACATAGTCCCCAGTACCATTTAGACCTGGTTACAGTGCCTACAGTCAGGAAGTGCCCGGCTCAGTGCCGAGGGCAGACATCGTCTGGGTAATCGCCCCACCACCGTGCAGTCAGTACTGTACTATCGTCCGCACGTACAGAGGAAGGAGCTGAGGTCTCCAGAGGCAATTGAAGCCTGGCACGGTGCTGACTCAACACGCAAGCTTTTGCTAAATGGAACAACTCTTACAAAAGCACCCAAATTTTATTTTACATGAACTTTCTCTTGATTAGTTCCTAACAGATTATTCACTTAACACTTGGCTAAGATTTTTTTTTTGGAGAGGTTTTTGCTATAGGGCATGTGCGTTTGCCAGAACGACAGAGAGAGAGCGAGCGAGAAATCACCCCCCAGGGGGGATGGCCACGCTGCAATCCCTTTTCCTCCATTCTCCTCTCAGGATCTTGGGCATGCACGCACGCCCGCCCGCCCAGCATGAGTTTACGCCACTGCGTCCGGGACGAGAACCGTGTGACTACGTGGGAGTCCAGCGACATAGCCATTACACTAACTGCTGGGCCCCACTTTGCTAAGATTTTGAAACCCTTTCTGGCTTAGTCTTGGAACAATTTAGCAAATTCTCGTATTTCCCAACCTCATGTGCAACCTTTCCTTACTTCTCCACTCCTGAAAGGTCCAAGGCAGCAGAAGAGAGAAAAATAATTGGAATAATAATAATAATCGGGAAAACAATGAAAAGCTATTGGATGATGAAGATGGGGATTTTAATGTCTCTGTATTGACTGATATGCATGGTATTCCTTCTGGTAAAAGAAACGTAATACACTGTAAAGTTGTATGTGATTCAATGTAATATAAATAAGATTATGGTAATAAATACACAAATAAATAAATAAACAGATTCTTTCCAGACCAACACAGCATGAGCAAAGCTCTTCTACCTTGCTCTTCATGTGGCTAGACTTGCCAATATCCATTAACACTGTGGATGTCGAGTAAGTGATGATGAAACTGAGCTGCAAACATCTTGTTGAAAACACTTTCACCTCTTCCTACAAAACAAAACCTGGCCTCTAGCACAGGTCGCTTCTTCCAGTGCCACATACTGCAGGTCCAAGTGCTCTACCTACAGAGTTGACACTGCGGGCCTTCACTTCGTCCTTGGTCCTCGCGGGGCCAGGCCACGCTTGCTTACCCTTCCAGAGACCCCGCCAACGCCAGTGTTCGGGTCTCCTCCCTCTGGAGTCAGAGAACTGAAAGTTTTTCTCTATCACCTCTCAGCGTTGGAAACTCAGGCTACCCAGGGCTGGTCTCCGCATGGAGCATGGACCATAGCAAACAAGGAACTGCAGGGAATTCCCTCTCGCGGCACTCACGTGTCTGAATCCCTTACCCAGTGAGCTGGGGCGGGCCAGGGGCCCCGGGTGCTGCGTGCAGCCCTGAACTCGCGAACAAGCACGAAGCTGGCACTCGGTGGCACTTAACACCCCTCCGGAATAAACAGGTGTTCTGAAACTGCCAGCATTTCACGTCAAGAAGGCGGAATGCCCCCCCATCAACCGGCTTCGTCCGCGGGACCCAAATGTACCGCCCCACCCCTGCAGTGGCCGCGCGCTTAACACCCCCCTTGCTGGGCTGTACGAGTCGGTGCAAACCACCAGGCACCCCGGCTGAACCCCCACTGCTTCACTGTTCGGGGATGGGAAAAAAGTACTCGCCTCCGGCCTCGACCAGCCGGCTGGGAGGCAGGATCCTGACTTTAAAAACTGAAAACTAATGAGATTAAGACACACGCGGGGTTCAAGGGCACAAGAACACCGCTCAGCAGCACAGACCTACGTGAGCTCCGGGCGATCTCGGACTCACAGCCGGTCGAGAGCGGCGGCCACGGCCTGGACTCGGAGCCAGCGGGTCCCGGGGCCGCCGTCCGAGGCTGCGGGAGGCCCGGCCGGCCCGGCCGCAGCTGGGGCCCCTCGCGTGCGGGCGTCCTCTCTCACCTAGGGGACTTCCGCGCCGCCGCTGTCTCCGCCGGCCCGCTCCTTCCAGAGCCTTGCCGGGCCCTCTCCTCCGGGGATCGGGCAGAAGCGGTCCACACCCGTCGAACTCCGCCGACCGCTTCGCGGCTGGGCACCGCCCCCCCACCCGGACGCGGCGGAGGCTAGAGCGGCTCCGCGCCACCACCGAGAGGAGGCCTGGAGGAGCCTAGGGCAGAGCCGAGCCTCGGCCTCCGGGGGCGACCCGGGCGGAGCGGCGCAGTCGGGACGGCTCAGGGCCGCGCGGTGCTTCTCGAGACTCCGCTGGGTCGTCGCCCTGTCCTCCCCGAGGTTAGGGAATTGGGAGGCCCTGGGCGCCGCGCCGTAGGCATTTGGGGCGGCTTGTTGCCTAGTCTCCCGGCCTGTATGTGACCGAGTTGGAGCCCCGCGTTCCCTTAACCTCCCAGTAGGGCAGAGGCGACCAAAGGGCCCGGAGATCGGCCTTAGAAGGCCTCACTTCTTTCTTAAATTTAAATGGTTTTTATTTTCATTCAAGAAAATATACAGGAAGATGAATAAGATTCCTAAGGGAGGAAACGCCGTCCTGGGTCCTGCCGCTCGTTCTCTTTTCATTTCTAGGTCTTTTTTAGCGTGTTCAGCAAGTGTGAGAGGCGGATGGAGCGAGGCACAGCTCACTTTTTTTTTTTTTTTTGGTTTTTGGAGAGGTTTTAGCTTTAGGGCGCGTGCACTCACTGGAAAGGCAGAGAGACACAGAGAGAAAAAGCGAGAAATCACCCCCCCTCCCCCACGGGGGATGGCCACGCCGCAATCCCTTCTCCTCCATTCTCCTCTTGGGATCTTGGGCACGCACGCACACGCGCCCGGCGTGAGTTTAAGCCACTGGGTCCAGGACTAAGACCCCCGGTCAGCTACATGGGAGTCCAGCGACATAGCCATTACGCTGACTGCTGGTCCCGTTCACTTTAATTTCTAAGTCTTTTTTGGCGTATTCCGTGAGTGTGAGAGGGAGGCCCGGCGCAGAAGGCCGCCACCCGGTGCGCCCAGTCAGGAGGCCACAGGAGTTCTGGGTGCCCTGGGTGGGCTCGGGCCCCTAACCTGCAGGCTCTGGGCCAGTGCTGTTCCGTTTCTTGCCTTAGTCACCGAGGGGCACGTGCACCCTGGGTGGCTTCTCTTTTCTCCACCGTGTTGGTTCGGATCACACGTGCGCACACACCTGGCAGGTTTTTTTTATAGCCCTGGGGTGGGGATTTCAGCTGAGGTTGGCGGAGGGATCGGGTTCTCAGAACCACCAGCCTGGCCACTGATGACTTTTTGAGGTGGATTTTATTCATCTGCAGTAGAATCATTGAGAGCTGGAAGTCTCTTACACTGGGCATTCTTGGCTTTGTAACCATTTTAAAGTTGGCGTAGGAGGGAAGTTACCAAAATTATGGTTTTAAGCAGCAAGTGAAAAGTGCCCAACAGGCAACGTGGGTCCACTAAGGGCCATGTTTGATCTTAATTCTGTGTAGCAGGCTGTGCTGACCGGAGCCCGTGGGCCGCCCTAGCGGTCCCCACCCTGCCCCGCGCAGGCAGCCTTGCGATGCTCACCGCCTTGCGCCAACTTAGGAGTGGGAGAACTCCCGCCACTGCGTCTGCAGGGGTGCACCAGGCAGGGCAGTTCCTTTACTGATTACTTGTGGTCGGCACTTAGCAATGAGGAGACACTACAGTTTATTCCTACTTTGCTCGCTCCTATAGTGGGAGCCACAGAGGAGTAAGCAGTTAATCACAGTGGGGCGTGACAAATGGCATCATGGAAACACATGGATGTGAACAAGATAAAATGAGGTACCGAACAGCATTCTGGGAGGAGACTGAGAAGTGCATTGTCATATAGGAAACTACCGGTGCAAGGGTGGCCTCTAAGTAAACTACTGGACAGCCTGTCCTAGAGATAAACAGACGTCTCACAGACCGAGTTAAGATTCGAAAATGATGTGACTTATGGAATCAATTTCAACATCCAGTGAAAAGCAGGCGGGGAGAGTTGTAAACTGATCCTTTTAGGAAGGACACCACTACCTGATTCACAGAATGAGCGATGTCCACATGTTCCTACCGATGATAGGCTGAGGAGGGCCAGTGATGAGGTCTCAACAAGAAGGTCGGCTTGGGGTGGAGAGTGCTTGGGCCCAGAGCACACCCCTGCCTGATGGCTGAATGCAGAGAGGGGTGCCTGGCCACACCCAGAGCTTCCAGTTAGGCTGCTGATCCCGCACAGGTTTTAGCTGCGTTTATTGGGGTAGAGCTGACCTGCGACTTCTAGGTGTCGGCAGTGGGTGGCTGATTTAGAGGGGGCATGATTATCTGCCCAAATAGATCATGGTTGTTCATAACTTTTTCCATTTCTTTTTGTACGTGACCCTCTGTTTGATCATATTTCCTATTTATTTTAACTTTGGCATGCCTTATAGTTTACCAATTTACTATATATATTTAACACAATTCTGTCGATGTTTCACGAAGTACATGCTTACTCATACTCTATATTTAAAACATCCTAGGAGTCCTACATCTATCTTATAACTCACTAGCTAGCTTACTGTCGACAGTTACGACTTTTATCTCTCCCTAAGGAAACAAGTGGCAAGGAATTCAGAATGGTTACAGTGGAAAGTTGTACTATCCTTTTCATCATGTTAAAGATACTGGATTTTACACAGATAAAAACTGAAACCATAGGAATGCAGGGAATCAAGGAGCAGTCCAATTGATCCTTGTGATAATGTAGATGATTAATAATGAGGATTTTAATCAAGTAAGGCAGTAAGTCCACAGGGTGAAAGTTGACCTCTCATTTTCTACCCCCTTCCCCAACATTGGATAATGTCTGGAGACATTTTTGGTTAGACCAGTTAGGGGGTGCTGTTGATATCTAGGGGGGAACCAGGACAGAGAAAACTGCTAAACATCCCATAATGCACAAGACAACCCCTCACAACAAAACATTATCTGAGTTAAAATTATAGTAGTGCAGCCAGCAGGTGGCATGGTGGTTAAGACACTGGATTCCCACATGGCCAACTATGGTTCGAGTCCCAAACTGAGTGGTTTAAAAATCATAACAAATAAATAGATAAATAAATGTTTAAAATACACACACACACACACACATAAAAAAAAATTACAGTAGTACAAAGATGGAGGGATTCTCAACTAAGGGAATTAAGAAGGCCCAGAGAAGGCAGAAGTGAAGAAGCAGAACTAATAGAATTGTGTTACTTAGTTACAGATGTTAGGGAGGAGAATGATTTTAGGGTTCTCCATTTGGGTAATTGGGAGGATATAAGGAGGAATTGGTTAGGGAAAAAATTGTAGGTATCTTTTTAAAATGCTACAATTGGGCCAACGCCATAGTTAGGGAGCTGGATCCCACATAGCTGGAATAGTTCAAATCCTGGCTCCAGTGGCTTGAAAACTATGCCAGGCCTATGCACATGTGTGTGCTCCAAATCCCAACTCGATGGAGAAATGGAGAGATGGGGATGGGCTTGCGACCTGGCCACACTCCATCATGGGGTGCTGTCTCCCTTCCTCTTTCTGATGAGTGCAGGTACCTTCTGGCAATTAAAAATAAATTGAAAAAAGCTACAGTTCTTATATGAACACATAAAATAGCATAGTCTAATATCAAATTTAATAGCTACTGTAATTTCAAAGCAGCGATAAATGATATTCTGAGATATCTGTAACTACAGGATTATAATACCAAAAAACCTGTGATTTCTATTGGTGACCAAGTTATCAACACTGTAGATAAACTGATTAGTACTGTGGTAATACTCACAGGCTCTGCAAATGGTACTATAATTTGTTGCCTGCCTGTGTCTTGAAGTAAATGAAATGCTAACTTTCAGTTAGGTGTTAGGGAAAGGGAAGAGTAACTACCTGGAGATCTATCGTAAGGACAGCGTTTAGGGCCTGCGTGCAGTAAGAGACCAAGTAGGCAGAGACACAGATGTGTGAAGGGACAATTTCCACCTCTCTTCTATTGTATAGATGACCTTGTAAAGGACCAGTGAGGTCAGATAACTGGGTTAATTCGAGGGAGAGGAAGTGTCAGTCGCATGGCAAGAAGCACCAGGGAGGCCCAACCATGGTGGCACAGCAGTTGTGCAGAGATCTGCATTGCGAAGGCCACGTGGAAGTTCAGTGCTCAGTCCTGAGTTGATCTGTCCACACTGGGCACACTGCCTGGGAAGAGTCATGGTATTGGAAACTCTTGAGGGTGCTTATCTTTCTCTTTGTCTCTCTCTCATGGAAGAAAGAAAGCAACTTAAAACAAAGAAGAACAAGGGACATGGGAGTTGAGGGTTTTCTCAAGAAAGTCACAGGTGGTAAGACTCATGGGAGGTGACACCATGTCAGTTTGCTTTACTGCTGTGTTGTCCGAGCCTAGGGGGTGGTTGGAGTGATGGAAGCTCTACAGACAAAGCAGGGAAAGTTACTGACTGTGAGAATGTGAAGTGAACTGGAGCTCTCAAATCAAAGTAGGAGGTAAGGAGGTGAAGTCAGCAATCAGACTGGAGAAATAAAAGATGGTGGTTAGAGAGTAAAACAGTTTAAGATATCTAGCTAGTGGAGCAGTTTCCCTTGGTGGGGTCAAGTCTTGGCTTCTTATCAAAGACACTTAGAGATATTCAAAGGAACTTAGAATTAGGAAAACAGGAAACATTGGCATTCAAGGGATCCCAAGTTTGGGATTAGATAACATGGAACTCTGACAGGGGATATGGGCAATGAAGGAGGATGAATTCTTTTTTTAAGATTAATTTTATTTATTATTGTTATTATTATTTAATTTAACCAGAGAGAGAGAGAGAGAGAACGTGAGAAAGGAAAGCCTCCATGTCTGGGACTTGAACTGCTGTTGGTCATGTAGGAGTTCAGCACCTTAACCACCTGCAAGCCCCAAAGAGGATGAATTCTTAGTCATCATTTTTCTTTTTCTTTTCGTAGGCCTTCATATGAAATTCAATATATCACAGAGAAGAACATTAGTCCTAATCTATAACTTGGTGAATTTCATATCCATATAGCTGCACCCCAGGTCCCAAAATGACAAGTATCCCAGAAGTCACCTGCCTACTGCCTTCCA